TTCAGGCTTTTACAAGATTCATAGTTTCTGTAGGTAATGGCTTGTCTTCAGATGCAGAAAAAGAATAAACAAGTTATCATAAAACCACAATCTGTGCTGCTAAAGAGCAGAAAGGCAGAAGGATGATCAGATAGCAATTTAGAAACACCAACATTTGGTATCAGAGGCTTGCCTTGAAGCCTGTGGCCATAGGGTGAAAGGAACCATATCAGTCACTGAGAAGTTTGTATCAATCTTCCCTACTATCTACTGTGGTTGATTTGAAATTAGATTTAATCGCACTACTTTCCTGTGTTTCTCCAGCAACAGAGAGACCAACCAAAATTACTTTTATCATCTCTGGTGAGAACTGCAATTCACATTTGTGACAGGCAAATCTCTTAGAAAGCAGATTTCACTCTTTGTTTTTTCCTTTTTCTTTTCATTCTTCCCCTCCCCCTCTTTTCTACTTCCAATCCCCTCTTCCCCCTTACCCTCTTCCTTTCCTTCTTGATCACAAGAAAAATTGTGTGTTAAGTGAACTCATTCCTCAACTTTCTTGCTCCTTTGTCCTAGTTTAGTTGTTAGGGACCTGTGTTCTTATTGTAAGTATAAGTGAGTTCACATCCCACTCTTGGTGGCTCTCAATTATTGTTACTCCTGGAATATTATTCCGAAATTCCATACCTAACATGATCTCTCATCCAAAGGAACCCATGTTTAGTACTGGATTTCTAATTCTGAGGAAACCAGGTAGAGGATGAATTGTTTTAGAGTAGATTGAATTTATCAGGCTTTGCCTCTTTCACTTACAAACAAGGCTGGACATGAGTGTGATGACCACATCTTTTGGGGTTTTGATGCACATTTTGTGTGCGTGTGTGCAGCTTGTATTAAAGCTAGAATTTTCCTTGGAAGCACAAAGTGTTTCTTTGTTGAGATTTTCAAACTGCAAAAGTAATGCAAGGATTATTTAAAAAAACCAAAAACCTACTTTATGAGGTTATTTGTACTGTTAATGTTAGGGCCTTAAGTTGTGCTGAGATTAGACCATTTTCTTTATGTGCCCTAAAGGGTAAGAGCTCACTCTGGGAATAGTGTGGATGTTCCCTGAGGGATGGACAGTCCAGAAACCACCCCTGGGAACTCGACCTGTTGGTTAAATCCAGACTTTTAAAGGTATTTGAGAAAACTTCTGAGGATGTTTGTTTCTACTTGGGTTGGTTTTCCTACTACGTAAGCTAGAACCTCTTGCAGTCTCAGGTTCTGCAAATGTGGTTGGAAAAAAAAGAATTCTTTGCCAAGATGCTTCAGGGAGATTTATACTCTCTTTTCTGTTTGCTGGGGGCTTTCCTTCTCAGTACTGTGGATATGCAGTCAGCCTGGGGAAAGATGCCCGAGAGCTGTGTGAAGAAGACCCTGCAGACACTTTTGGTGAGGCCACTGCCCCAATGCTGCTCAAGTCCAAGGGCAGTAAGAGGTAGTTTCATCTGGTGCTGCTTTTTACTTAGTGCCTGCTTTTCCCTCCTTATTTATGACATCTCTGAACACCTCCTGACAGCCTCACTCCTGTGAGTCCCTACTCTGGCCTGTCAGGTCTTGGAACAGGCGCTACTGACTGGGCCTGAGTTTCCTCAAGATAGTGGATACTTTTGTATAAATAGTTAACCCTGGGAGTTACTCATCCAGCAATCTGATCCTAAGGCATGTCTTTTGCCACTGGAGTGGGCCTCAGGAGTGGGTCCAATCTTTCAAGCCTGGAAATAGGCATTTTAAGATCCAGTCCTTGAACTTGAGGGCATGGTTCCAGTGGTAAAGTTCCTCCTTAGCCAGCAAGCACAAGGCCCTGAGTTCAAACCCTAGTGTAGACAAAACAAAACAATCCAGTCTTTGTGCTTGGTTTTAAAAGAAATATGATGAGGCTGGGAATATAGGAAGTATATACTTGGGCTTTGCTTGTTTATAATGTTCTTCCTAAGAATGACCCTTCTCCTTAGATTTCACCCATCTTGAGGTCTCCTTGGGGCATTTCTCTTCCATGAACCTCCCCTGGCATCTCCTTCAGTATTCAGAGTTCTTTTCCCTTAACAATTCTTTCATCCATGAATCATGCACATGATTTGATGTACTCCAATAATGATTTTATGGTGAGTTTAACACCTAATTCACTTACTCAGCTTTGTTAATTTTGGAATATGGTGCACAGCTCTGCCTAAATGATGAGTCTATGGAATATCAACTATGTTCTGCATGATGCCTTTGACTTGGGCAGATGTTTTCTATCTCTTTCCCATGTCAATCTGCTTTCCATGGGGGAAGTTTGGCAGACCTTCAAAGGATGGAGATTACTGAATTCCCTTGGAAGCCAGTGGAACTGACATCACTATCAAAAAATTTTAAAATAAAAATAGAAGATAATTAAATGCATCACAGTAGCTGTAAAACAGATTTCATTGTTAGGCATCACTTAGTATAATCAGCATACTTACCATTCCTCCACATGACATTCTCTGTAGCATTTTACCACAGAATAATGACTTCCTGACAACTCAAGCAAGTAATATTGAGACCTAGTTGTTCTAAGAATAAGGCAAAAAAGAAACTCTGTCAGATGGGAAGCCTAATGGGTGAAAAAGTATTCCATCAGAATAAAATGTGATATTCTGGGTAGAGTCAGATGGAACAAAAAGGTTAACAGATCTATCAGGACACTTAAAAAAACAAATGAGTTGCTTACCCAGGACCAATTAAATTAGTATGCATGACTATTTTTGAGTATTACAGCTTTCTTGAATCTCATATAGTCAAATAAACCTGAAGGCTACTCAGGGGAACCAATGATGGCTTATCACGTGATGTAGCATTTGGAAATTTGTCTTCCTTTACTGGTTCTGCCCAAGGGTTTGGGTGGGGAAACAGCAAAGACCCTGGCTTTTAAAAATGAATCAATTATTCATAATCTGGAGATGTACTTCTAAAACCTGAGAATTTTATCTGGGACTAGATTGCTGTCAAATTTTCAAATGAGAAACTCTTATTGGAGAAAGATCACCCTGTTGACTTGTCTTCCTGTTTATATATTTCATAGTGAAATGATTTTACCAGGCTCTATCTTGGGAATAAGATTAGAAGCATCACCTTAATGTATACTTCTCTTTCTTCTAATCTATAAAATATCAGGTTGATTCACAGATTATAACTTCAAGTATTTGCAAGGAGCCTTCAGAAAAAAAAGTGGTAGCAGGCAGTGGCATAAAAGGACTTGTATTCTGGAAATTGGGTTCTCTTTTCTGTTCAATTTGGTCTTTTGTAGGCTTGATGGTGATGTTGGCTCACTGATACTGTGATAAGAAATGATTTTATGTAGTGTGAAAAGCTAAGTACTCTGATCTCTTTATCTTTTTTAAGCCAGTAATTTTAGAGTGAAACAATAAGGTTTGTCATTGGTTAGGCCTTGCTGCCCAGGAAAATTTTTACTCGCCAAGAATCTTTTCCATCTTCACAATAAGAGATTTTATTTATGCAAACTACATACCTTTCCACCTTGTTGGATCATAGATGGCTTACCATTCTTTCAGTTTGCAAATAAAATGAATCTTAGGTTTTCTTATCTTTCAACAAGGGCAGACAAATTAGGCTCTAAGTGGAACATGTTCAGGACTTTAGAGGAGCGTCAATTCAGCTCCCAGCAGGTGTGAGTCTAAAGTGCCTCTTTGCAAGAAAAAAAATTATCACCAGTTGTGCACCTGCTCTCAGAGAAGGGACCAGGCATCAGAAGACCCACACAAGAGAACTGACTCAATAAAAGTCATTTATAAGCTGGAAGTGGCTGTTTTTCCTCTTTCTAACAGGGGCTTGTTTGTTCTAAGTCAATTACATTTACAGACAGACAGAGAGACTATATGGGAAAGGCCTTGGAGAAAAGAAAGTAAAATAGCTCAACAACATTCATGATGCCTGATCACTTACATGCTATCAAACAAACAGCATGGCTATCCTCCATAATCCCCAGAGAGGCAGCAGAGAATATACAGACATGTACCTCCTCTCTCCTAATAACTCAGTCTTTTCCCCTTGAGGTTATGCAACACACAGGAGTACAATAAGAGGCTGAATCTGATCAATAGTTATTAGATAAAGTAAGTATTGAAAGAATCCAACTCTGACTATAAATTATGAGCTCATGAGACTCAGCCGCATTAATTTAGAAGGGGCTGGGAAGTCTCTGGAACTGAGAAGGGTTATGATCCACTAGAAAAGGAACACTGGAGAGTCTCAGGGAGAAGACCAGGCTGACGGATAGCACTCCACACTAAGGGAACCAGTTTCCTATTGCAGCTGATCATACTAAGTGCATTTTGGGTTCAAGGTTTCCTTTACAGACTCAGGTGATAGAAGAGTAAACCCAGGGCAAGAAGCACAGAAGTGGTGTGTGTTTGGAAGGGTAAGGCAGGGACTGTAGAGGGTGGCATTTCAGGAATACAGCTCAAAGAGAAATTAAGTGCCTGAGAAAGAGTAGGCAGGCATTGTGTATAAGTGTTTTCTCTGGTGGTTGCAGGTTGTGCTTGCAAAAAAAGACAGGAATCAATGTGCACACATTTCTTTTCCTGTTTCCTTAACCAACACCCTTAACACATCTTGGACTCCTTGGGGTAGGGAAAGGGCTCTTAACTGGGCTCTGTAGCTCCTTAATCTTGTTTATATGGTAACTGATTAGGGGCAAAACCTTTGTTGTATGAGTCTGAACCAGGGTTTCTGTACTGGAAACATGCACAGAAACAAGCACTAGGAAGTTGATATATTATTTTTAAATCCTGACGTCCCATATTAATTTCTCCTAAAGTCTAGGACCTCAGTTTCAAGAATCTCAAAACTAAAAGAAGTAAAAGTTCCAGAGTAGATGATGAGAATCATCTCTGACCTTACTTGAAAGGTTTTAGGCCACTTTAGAGAAGCAATTTTTCTAGCTAGACTTAAAATATTCTCCATGTCCTTGTTTATTACTATAAACAAGCAAGTTTATTTTAACATTTACTTTTATTGTGTGGTATGAAGTACCTAGGAAATCCAAGTATGTACTGTACTAAAATACCCATATTTCCAAATAACATTACATGGTATAGGTCACAGTCTCTGCAAAAGCATCAAAAGCAAACCTGTGCCTTTATATCTTACAGTCCATTATTGGCTGCTGTTAAAAGTATGCTAACACATGATGAAGGAACAAAAAATAAAGCTGATAACAAATATGCTTTTCAAAATACACATATACACAGCTTACAGTGGAGCCCCATGGAAACAAGTCAAATGACATTTGATGTATTATCTATAAAATGTAGACTCTGCAATAAAAAGCCAAAGGCACATAAAAATATATTTTAACTTTAAAAATAACTTAGTTACAGTAATACCTTGCTTGTGTCTTAACCAACATGTAGCTGACAGTCAAAAGTTTGCAATATAGGTACAATATACAGGAATATATAAGAACTACAAGAAAAAAATCCCCAAATCCCATTAAATTGTTCAAATGTGAAAACACAGAAAGTTTAAACACTTGTGAGAATTTGCCCACGGTGAACCCAAACAATATACTGTACAAAAGAGTCTAGAAAAAAAGGCGTAGGTGTTAAATGCATTTTGATTTCCTCTTGTTCAGAAAATGCTGGAGAATGGTGAAGCCCCTCGGGGAATTTCTCTCAGCCTTTTCATAGCCAGAGCCAATTCCTGGCCAAGCCAGATTTCTTACATGTCTACAAATAAACAACAAGGAAAAAGAAAACACCAAAACTGCGAGCTGATCGGCAATGCCTGCGGAAAATGTGCTCTGACTCATTTCCTCTTAGTGCCAGCCCAGGTTTTCCGTGTTGCTGCTTTCTAACTTGTTTTTGCAAATAGGGCATGATAGGTAAAAAAATATCTTATAGGAACAGGAACATTGTTTTAAGAAAATGTATCACATAATTAATTGCAAGAAGAAAAACCAAAACCAAAAGAAAATAGCCAGGGAAGTTTTTCTCTTCAACTGTGGTTAGTTGAATGTGTGTGGGGGGAGGGGTGTTGTTTATTTTGGTACCTTTTTACTCTGAAGGAAAAGAGCTGTTACTTATTTTTATCCATGACATTCAACACTTCATCTAAAAATGAGGGCCCAAGATCCAGCTGTAAGGAGAGAAGGGAACCTGTCAGGTCAGAGAGGGACTCCTCAGACTTAGTCTTTTCCTTGATGAGCTCGCAGGGGGCAGGATGCTCAAACATGTCTTCGGCTGGCCAGTCGGAGTACTGTTCCGACAGGCTGGAGGAATGGCTGTCTCTGCCCTGGCTGGACTGGGATGCTGAACCACTGGAGGCCCAGGAGGCATCTCCTTGGTGGACTGTCCCATTCTCCAGCAAACTGCTCTTCTCCTGAGCTTTTTCCTCCAGGACAGGCTCACAGATGAGCCTGGGCAGCTTGGGCCGCCCAAAGGATTCCTGTTTGGAATTAAATGTTACTGGTGACAACAGTGGCAACATGAGAGCTTGAGACCCTCCGATGGTTGGGAGGGAGATGGCGTTTTTGAGCACAGGGGAGGGCGTTTCTGTGAACATAGAGTCTGATGTGCTATTGGCCCGGAAGAACTCGCTGTGCCCAGGGAACTGGCCCGAGTGCGCCTTCTCCTGGTTCCCAGGCAGAAGCTCATAGTTCCCTTGCAGGAAGGAAATGTCTCCGAAGACATCATGTTGGCCCTCTTTGCCGATGTGGATGGTATGGCGGAAGTCTCCCAGGGGAGGACTAATCATATCAGGAGACAAAATGTCCCTCAGTTTAAATTTCTTTCCCTTCTTGTTGTTGGCAGCTTTTAGGTATATTGGGGTCTTGGCTGGCATTTTGGAAGTTGCGAATGTCTCTTTCACAAAAGGGGAAAAGGGCTACTTTCTTCACTGGTAATAACACGTTTCTGGAAAGCTCTTTTTGCTAGGAACTGTCATACCATTTTTATCAAGTGGCTGCAGAAGTGGCTTTGAAATGACAGGGGTCTACGAGACCTTGCTGAGCTTCTGGCAACCTTGGGCTTCCTGGAGGCTGGTTACATCATCTGCTTCCTTCCACAACACCAGGAGACCTGGAGGAAAAAAACAAAGAAGTTATGATCTTCCCATCCTTCTGCACTACTCAGGCTTGCCTATTTCACAAAAGGCTGTAAATCATGGCAGGTTCAGACCTGCATAAAGCCCACTTTTATCCTGTTCCTTCTCAGATAAGCATTATTAAAAAAAACAGTGATTTTTTTTTTAAGCCTCTTGACTCTTCACCTGTTCTCAGATCTTCAAGGATGCTTTCCATTAAGGCTTGGTTTGGATACTCATCACTTACTAAATGGTATTTCCAGTTCCTTTCTAAGACTATTTGATTAAATGCATTGATCTTATTTATATAAAGAACTCAGTAACAAAACAGTATTAGTCTTGCTGGTGTTCACACCAAAGCAAAAGAACAAAATACCTTTTAAAAACAAGATGTTGTGAGCAGTGAATAGGAGAGGACAAGAATCTTAGACATGTTCTGAAAACTGTGTCTATGGTCATGTTTCACAAGTTCTTAAGGATTTTAAGTCCCTCTTTTTCTTGGTGCTTTATAAAAAAACCTTTTGTTTTCCCCTGAGCTAAAACAAGATTAATGCAACCTTATTAAAATTAAATGTTGGAATCAAATTGTAGCATGGTGAGAATTTCAGGGTTTGAGGTATTTTGAGATGGAAAGAAAACTACAAAATTGCTTCATTCCAAAGACAAAACATGATGATCAGACAGGATATAATAGGTGTGGAGAGGTGTGGCTCAAATGGTAGAGCCCCTATTTAGAAGCACTAGGCCCTGAGTTCAAACCTCAGTAGGGCCAAACAAAGAAATTTTAAAAATCACTCACAAAAACAGATATAACACAGTGGGGCTCTCATTTAGCAATATTTCAAAACATTATTGGTCAGGCTTGTAGCCTCTGCTTGTGGTAGGTGTGATTCTAAGGTAGCTCTAGCATCTGCCTCTTGCCGGTTTACTGCCTTTGTGGGTAGAACTTGGGACTTGCTTCTGTACAAAGGTATGTCATGCCTCATGTAGGTTATGTAACAGAAGACACTATCTGAGCCAATGCGGGTAGGAGGTGTGCTAACACCATCACATACCTGTAATCTCAGTAATCAAGGAGCTGAGATAGGAAGACAATGAGTTTGAGGCCAGTATGGGTTACACATAGAGGCCTTATCCCAAAAAACAGAGAGGAGAGAGGGAAAGGGAGCAGCAGAGGGACAGACAGGAGACAGACAGACAGTCAGACCATTCATTCCTCTTGCCATTTTTGAGGATGTAAGTTGTCATACTATGAGAAAGGCTATGACTATGACTTCTGCTAAGGATGCTAGGGAGTTTGGTAGTGAACTTGCCCCGGTTGAGCCTCCAGTGAGACACCTTAATCCCAACACAGAGAGACCCTGACTCTCAGTCATGCTCAGTTTTTGACTCACAAAAATGATGAGATAATCAATAGGTGTTGATGCAAGCCATTAAGTTTTTTAGCAGCACAGAAAACCCATTCCCCCTACAACCACTATAAGATTAGCAATGAAGAACAGCTAGAAGAAAGCTCCAGAGATGCCACACGCTCTTTCTCTTGAAAATAATCCTCCAGGTCTTCAGTTGCATCAGATGACATGCACAAGCCAAACTATTCCTCCTCTTCACTGCAATCTCCCTCTTCTGTGTCTCTGGCCACACAGTCTGACAACAGTATTACAAGGGCTGGGTAAGATAGTGGCTTGCTACATTTGTTTTGTAGCAGCTGGAGGCCATCTGCATCTTCCCCATATTTCTTTCCTTTCACCAAGAGTTTTAAATATACTTATCAGTGGCAGGTGACAAGGATTGTGCTCCAACACCCACTGGCAAAGGTAACAGCAGCGTCTCAGTGTGTGGACATGCATGTTGTCTAGCCAGGCAAGCCTAAGAAGGGAAGCAAGGATAAATGGAAGATACCCACTGTGGCTTCAGATGTGGAGAGGGGTCCATGTAGCAATTTTACTCTTCAGAACAGGCTAACCAGGGAGCTGCCAAATGCAACGGGGTTGTGGGTCTTCATAGTCGTAATTTTAGCTCTTATTTGGATCTTATCCTAGTAACAAAAGTTGAAACTAGTAGGTCGGGCAGCTCATGCCTGCAATCCTAGCTTCACAAGGGGCTGAGTTCTGAGGATCAAGGTTCAAAGCCAGCTTGAGCAGAAAAGTCAAGGCGTCTCTCATCTCCAGATTAACCACTCAAAAGGAGGAAGTGTAGCTGTGGCTCAACTAGAGCACTAGTCTTAAGCAAAAACAAATTCAGGGACCGAGCCCAGGCCCTGAGGTCAAGGCCCTGGACCTGCCCACACAAGAAACAAAAGCACTCCCGGGTTTCTTGCTAAAATATCAGCAGTTCCTTCCCTTAAGTGCCAAGCAACCCAGCACTACTCTCCAGCCTCGTTGGCCACAAGACAGCTGACAGCCTGCTGGGCTGAGGAGACCATAGGAGGTGGTAGGCAGCCCTGAGGAACGGCTGCCCATGAAGCAGAGGCCTTGGCACACAAGGCAAGGATGGCAGCTGCCATGGAAAGATACTACAAGTCAGGGTTGCCTGGGGTCAGCTGGTGAAGCGGGGTGATGTAAGGCCAGGATCCAGCACAACTTGGTCCATATTATTCTTTCCAACCTCCCAAGAAGAGGCAGCCAGAGGGTAGTTCTTTGCCACTCTGCCTGGGTCACTTACATCTACTCTGTAACCAAATAAAGATCTGGGGTGGTGAGAAGAAGGAGGAGGAAGAAAGATGCTTCTCCCCCAATCTCTAGACACGAGTGAGCCCCGAGGCCTCCAGCCTGGGGAAAGGTAGATTTTATGTCAGTGGCAAAGGGACAAAGGTTGGAAATAATAAGACTAAATGTAAAAGGAAAAAGGGGAAGGGGGACAAAGAGCCAGATATGTTATAGGACATACAAACTATTACTGCTTAAAAGTTTAGAGGTGTCTACTATATTCTAGTCCTAAAAGCTCCCCAAGTGCACTGGAAGTTTAAAAGAAGAAAAGAAAGGAAATTCGGGGCAAAGGGCTAGTCTTACAACCTCAGATACCTCAGATACCTCATCACACAAGCCACCTCGGCTTGTGTGATGGTGGGAGGCGCCTAGCAGGTTTGACCAGGACTCTCTGTGTCATCTGTCCTCTCCCAGCTCATGGATTCTGTTGATCCCAGGGAGGTGAGCTAATGTCCAGTACACCAAGGTTCTTGTACCCATTACCTTCTTCTTCTAGCTCAGCAGCCAGGGCATATCTACAAAGCTTCCATGGGTTTTGTCCTTTCAAGACCATTTCCCCTTGTTCTTTCAACTTCACCTCTGCCGTTGCTTATGCAGACACCTGACAGGGTGGGTGGCTTCTCTACAGATAAGGAGTGGGCATTTACACACACACACACACACACACACACACATACACACATGTATAGACATACATACACATATAATCTTGGGAGTAAGCATTGGCTTTTCTTTGTGCCATCATTGTTCTAACTTCCCATATGTACTCATTCACTCACAAGAACTTGTGGGGCTGCTAATATGTTAATGTACCCATCTTACAAATGAGACACTACTGAAGCACAGGGGTTGAATCATCTACCAAGACCTCATGTTATGTTATCTGAGATCATGCCACGTGTTTAGGGAGTATACTCCCTGGGAATCCAGTCATTTCTCAAATTATGACGTGAGTACACTTCAGAGCCTGTGTGCTGGGCTGAGGAGGATGGGGAACAGGCTCTGGGCACACTGGCTGTGGGAACATGAGTAAGTCAACCTCAATGGAAGGCAGCTAGACAGTATCTTCTCACCTATAGACCATGTTCTTGGACTTGATTTCACACCACATTGAGGGACCAGGAAACATTATTCAGGTGTCTAAACAAGCAGAACCCAGAGCTAGGTACAACCCAAATGTCCATATACAGAGGACTGGTTAAATGAATTAAGACATACCATCCAAATGAATGCTATTTATAGCTAGAGGAAAATGTAGTGTTCAATATCATCATATGGAAAGTATATATATATATATATATATATGTATACACACACATATATATATATATATACTTATATATATGTATACACACACACACACACACATATCCAAAGGGAATAAAAGATACAAAAGTATGTGAATCTATTTGCATTGGCTTACATCCATAAAGTATTTCTGGGAGCACACACAAGAAGTTAATAATGGTATTTGCCTTCAAAAAGGGGGAGTGAATGAAGAGGACAGGCAAGAATGAGAAAGGAACTTTCTCCATATCTCCTTTAGTGATTTTGGATTTTTAACATGTAATTATCTGGCTATATAAAAATATTAAAACATAACCGATAACTGCACAGGGCTCACACCACATATTCTTGAAAAGCTGATTTCATGTTGTTTAGACCCTGCAAAGTCTGTGGGATCTGGGAATTGCTAACCATCACACAAACATTTCTATGGAAAAGGTATTCTTTTCAAAGCCACATCTGGATGATGACCTCAGATTTACAAGGTCCTTTTACCACAGCATGGTAAGGGAAAGATCATCAAAGAGGCTGCATCAGTTTGTACTTTGAAGGATAGGAAAGATCTTAGAATAAAAATGTTTTCAGTCAGATGGGCAATGAGAACAGGCCAAGAGGCCTAGAGCACAGGCTGGGCACCCTCATCAGTGTGCACACCAATGGAGTTGCCCAGGCTCAAGGCACAGCTTCTCACTTGGGAGGGGTGACACTGATGGACAAGATTTTGATGGAATGTTTCTGAATGCCTGGACATGAAGTCCTGTCCCTCTTCCTTATTTTAAGAAATGGCAACTTGTGCCGCTGAGGACTGTAGCAGTAGACAGAGTAGTGGATGAATCAGAGCTAGACGGCAAGGCCAGAAGATAGCCAATTGGCCAGAAGTGAATGATTAGACTAGCAGTGGGAGAACGAGCCCTCTCTTGTCCTTCCTGAGCCAAATAAAGGGACTTGACAGCTCTGTGTATCAGTCAAGACTCACACCAGCATGAAGTCTGGGGCATCTA